CCTCACTTGCCCGTAACTGGCTGGGCGTTACCATAGAGCATAAGTGAGTGGTGGGGATCTGGGACCTCAGCTAAAACGGCCACATGGGCGAGAACCTCCATGCAGCCATGGCCCTTATTTCCCCCATTTTCCTCCCATAGCCACTGGGGGGCAGCAGGAGATACTGATGGGGCCCCTGAAGGGTCAGCAGGCCTGCTGGTAAGACAGCAGGTTTTCTGTAAGGCACATCGCCTTGGTGTGCCCTGGTTTTTACTGTGTGGCCTGTGTCATTTGTTGACTAATGTCAGAGTTGATCATGAGAGTGTTTTGATCAGCTCCAGTTCCAGAGCAGTGGAGGCCTAGAAAAGGAGCCTCCCTGGAGGGTCAGCCCCTCTTACCTCCTGGGCCGGCCTCATGGGTCTATCATGGCCGCATATGTCTCTTGGAGCCAAGTTCCCAAGATACTTATTGCTGAATTGGGGGCCTTAATGGTAATGTAGCCCCCCCCCCCCCACACACACACACCAGATGGGCCTGGGTGGGCAGAAGTGGGTGGTGCATAGAGTAGAGAAGGTGCGTGTGCTGGACCTTGGGCTTCTTCCTGAGCTCAGGCCTTGCCTCAGGGCTTCTGGCAGCCATGGGCCAAGCAGGGGTGTTAGGCTGTTTCCCGACCAGTCTGCCCCTTCTCTTTTTACTGGTTCTTTAAATGTTCCCATTACTCAGGCCGCTGGTCGGCACTGAGACAGAAATAAATCCCACAAGGCAGCCCAGCCAGAGACTGGGAATCTGATTCCTCCTCACAGGCCGGAAGAGGCCCCTGTGCGGGCATGCCAGACCACGGTGGCCCACACACTCACAGAGCCACGAATGTGGCCACGCAGCCCCCATGCAGTTGTAAACAATGTATGTACTTGGTCTGTGTCGCCTCCATGTGTACAGGCATCTCACAGCCACACATATCACCCCCCCGCCCCCCTAATCAGATAGGCCTCACACTCATGCACTCCTGTTCACACACACATGCACACTCCCTGACAGCCAGGCTCACACTCGGTTGTGACCACACACTCTGGGGCCACGAACTGCCTCCCTCAAGGCACTGGTAGGTGAAATAAGTCGTGAGACTGGCGGCTGAGGGATGAGGTAGCCCCTGTGCAGCTCCGGAGGAGTTTGGCCTCAAGGGAACACAGACCAGGACTGCCAGGGCTTCTGAATTTTTCAGAGAAGCTGGAAAGCTGAATTTTTATGTGAAATATCCTGATTTTTAAATGTTGGCTCAAGATGTTGAAAATACTGCGCGGGCCAAACCAAACACATCTCCAGGCCAAATTCCACCCACAGGCGGCGTTCTCAGACCACGGGTCCACACAGACACACACACACACACAAATAGACACAGACATACAAACAAATACAAACAGACACACTGGTACGCGCATACACAGTCACACACACAAATAGGCCAACAGGCACAGACATACCTGGCTACACACAAACCCACAGATACAGGTATACTTAGAAATGAAACCACACACACACAGCTAGGCATGTATAAGGATACACAGATAAACACACACAAACGTACACGTACAGGTATACACCACACACAGCTGCCTTACCCACTTAGGCGAGCTTGTTGGGGGCAGGTAGCCTGACAGTAAGGCCTCTGGGCAGTCACACCAAGACTACCCATGACTCACACATGCTGGAACTGGAAACAAGTCCCCAGGAAGGACACATTGTCCTGTGCTGACAGCTCAGCAGGGAAAGTGGAGAGGAGCAGGTGAAGGCCTCATGCATCAGGACCGGAGGAGTCTTCACTGGAGTCACAAACTGGGCTCTGAGGGAAGCTTAGGGTGGCTGCAAACCCCACCTCCCCTTCTCCAGAACCCCTTCCTCCCAGTCTGGCTTTGTCCCCTCCTCACCACAGGGAAGAAATATCAGGAGGAGCTGTTTGACCATGTCCTCGCCCCACCGTGTTTCTGTCTGAGAACAGAGTGGAAACCACAGGGCCTTCTGGTCAGGAAGCTTTTGGAAAGATTGAGATTCATCCCTTAACCCCCACCAACATTGAGGACTCAAGGAGGGAAACTTGAACAAGAGGTGCATAATTAATGGTGGGGACATGAAGGGTCTCCAGCTCTCCTCTCTTCCACAGATGGAATGTGACACTAGAAAGGGGGGTATAGGTCTGAACTCCTGTTGGGTCTCCCAAACTCTGACCTGTTTCCTGCTAAGTCTTGCTGGGACAGCTGGCCAGCAGCCCTTGGGCAAGGGGAGTCCCACCCACAGCCTCAGGGCTCCACTCTGCATGACAGTGAGGCTGAAGGAGGGACCTTTACTAGGAGGAGAGAGGTGAGCAGAAGGAGGGAGAGGAGGATGTTCTGGCCCCTGAGACTGCCCAGGGGAAGGATAGGGGCTCTGTCCAGCCAGCCAGAACATAGTTGGGGGGCCCACTGGGAGGCAAGGTACTATATTGGGCCCATGCAGCCCTGGAGCCCTGATTTCGGGGAGGCTGAGGCTGAGAGGGAAGGCTGTTTGCCTGGGGTCACAGCACACATGAAGCCTGTAAGGCCCAGGCCCCTGCCTGTCTCTAGGGCTCCCTCTCCCTGTGCTCAGTGTCTCTGCCCGACATTGCTTGCTTAGTTGCCTGTAGTAGCTGAGACTTGCTGAGGAGGCATTGGGGATGTGCTCCAACCCAGGCTGAGTGCTAGTAATACACAGCAAGCTCCACGCCCCAGCCCCTCTGACTGGGTCCCCACCTCCAGACCTCTTCCAACGACCAAGGCAGAGCCAAGGCCCTTGTAGATCCACAGACAATTCCCTCACATCCTCAGAGTAGGGGTGTGACCTCTCAGACACCCAGGGCAGGACAAGCTTCCAGAGAACTTGCCTTATGTTCTCTTTGACCCCTTCACAGGGTGAGGGCTCTCTGCGTGTATGGGGCCATCACTGCAGCATGCTTGGATCCCTAGACCCTGCTCTGAGCTGGGAGCTGTGGACTCATCCAGGCTCATTTTGGCCTCGCCTGTGTTCGAGGAAGCCTTGAGGGTACCTTTCTTCTAAGGTCTTCAGAGGTTCTTCTTCCCGCCTGGGCAGTGGGGAAGAGCAGGCCTGTCCACAAGTCCCAAACAGTTAGGAGCTGTACATGGCTACCTTATTGACCCAACTTGGAGTCCAGGGAGCCCATGAGATGCTCGGACATGGTGGTCAAGGAGGTGGCTGAGGAGTTGGGGTCTCTTGGCACCCGCCTCTTTGCCTGCCTGCCCACTTCCCTGCTCGGCTGGTGTTTACGTGTTCCCTGCGGCTTGGCTGGGCTGTGAGGTCTTGAAGGGAGAAGTGACCATCTGGCTCCAGCCCCTGCTCAAGGCAAACAGGGTCCTGACTGCCTGCCAGGCATGCTGAGGGCTCCCACTTCCTCTGCCAACACCTGGATGGCCCAGGCGCGGCTCAGGGGCCTCTCTGAACTGGGGGTGGGGGTAGGGGAGACAGCCATGAGAGGCCTGGAGCTCCAAGTCAACATGGGAGACCTGGTTCTGGCCTAGGATCCAGACTGATGGAAGAGGTCTTTCCTGGATCTGTAGTTTGAAGGGAGAAATCATACCCAGTCCCAAGAGGCAGGCTAACTCCGTCCTGGATGCAAATACGCGGAGGGAAGGCCGGCTGGGATGGCAGACAGCTGGGTATGGGAGGGTTTGTCCTGGGCTGGCACTCTGCACCTGAGGCAGGGGGTACCCAACATGTCCAAAGGGGAAGCAAAACTCCACCTTAGGGGGCCCTTCTGAAGTAAAGGTGGTAACAAGTCTGAGGGGTTATCATACTCCTGGGGGCACCCAGTCCAAAAGGTGAACATGACCCTATCTCAGAGTGTAGGAAGAGGCTACACCCTGTCCTAGAGGGAACCTAGCCTGAGCGGAGAGACCATCATCCCTCTTCTGAGTGGTACCCAGTGCAGGGGGAACACACACCTGCCCAAGGGGTGCCTGTCTGAATGTTTCAGGGTGAGTGGGCCTTACGCTCTGTACCTCAGAAACTCCCTGAGGAAGAATCTGGAAGATGGGGCTTGGGACTCTAGGCAGCGAGGGGCTTCAGTGACTGCCTGTGAGATGGGCAGGGTGAATTTCCCTGCGGCCATGGCCTGGGAGTCCTGTGGCTCTGAGCTCTGGAGATGGGCATCAGCTACCCTGGCAGGGGAATAAAGGTCTGTCCTGCTTAGCTCTGCTTCTCCCAACCATTGTCTCATCCATGGTCCTTCCAGCCATCAGCCCCTCCCACCCCCATGGCCAACTCCCCAGCTCCCATAGGGAGACCTCTCCCTTGACCAGGGGCAGGGGCTCAATGTTGCTTAGACCTTGTTTGCTCTCTTCAGCTTCCAGTGGCTCCCAGCATCCACAGGACTCCTTGACTCTCAGCTTGGCACAAAGGGCCATCAGGCCCTGGTCTTTGTGTTTCCCCCATTCAAAACAGGTCACCCCAGGTGGAGCTCTGTGGGTGCACCAGGCTTTTGGACCTTTGCCTTGCTGTCCATCTAGAAGGATAGGTGGGGCTGGCCTGAGGCTGTTCCGCATTCACTTTACTTGAGTGTGTGGTCCTGGCTGTGACCTTGACCCCTCACCTAGCCCTGCAGTGAGGGGAGTGATGCTGGAGATGGGTTGGTCTACACTTCCCAGAGACTGAGGCCTTGGACAAGAAGTTTTGAGCTGGAGATGGGCTGGGCTGGGCTGGGCATCAGCTCTTGCGCAGGCCCAGAGGCAGGAAGGGTGTCAGGCTTGGGCAAGGAGTCTGGCTGCAGAGGGCCATGCCCAGTTGAGGTGGTGGGCCAAGCAAGGTGGTGGGTGGGTGGGTGTCGAGCAGGGTGAGTAGCTATGCCCTGAGCCTTTCGCCCTCCACCCTAGCTAGCCCTAGGCTCGGGCCCCAGCTCTGCAGGTCCTGAGTCAGAGCAGAGACCCCAGCCCGTCTCTCTTGCTTTTGCAGTGCTACACCTGCAGGCCCTTTTCTGGCCTGGGGAGGCTGGGGCCCTTGGGAACCCCCTCTGCACAGAACCCCCAGCCCCCAGCCTGGACCTGACATGCTTCTAGTAACTGGACAGAGGGTGCAGGACCCTGAGCATTTTCCTGCTAGTGCTTGCTGACCCTGACTGGGAACCAGCAGGTGGAGGGGGCTGGTCTATAGGAGATGGGCCAGAGGCAGCCTGGGTCCTCATGGAGACTGGGCACAGTGTGGTGAGCAGCCGAGAGGGCAGTGACGGCGGGGGAAGGCTGGGGCCCAGGTCCCCTGTGGGTGTGTGGGGTCCCTGCACTACCCTGCAGATCTGAGCCTTGCTAGGCCGAAGAAGCCTTTCCTTCCAGCCTTTCTGCTGGACTGTTCCCCACCCTAAGGACCTGCCTGTGGTTCACAGACACCCCATCCTGAGGCACCAGCCACAAACCTCTTGGGCTCTCGGCCCCCTTCCCTGCTGGAATGTGTCCCCAGTCCAGACCACACACTGCTTCCTTTTCCCTTTTCTTTTTTTTTTTTTTCTTTTTTTCTGTTTTGTCCTCCTGGCCTCAGTCCTGAGCGGGCAACTGTCCAACCACCCATTTCTTGGTCCCTCATGTCCATAGGTCCAACTCTTGGGTCTCTGGTCACATGACGGTCTCCCACTCTTCCTGCAGCAAGGTGGGTGGCCGCTCTGGCCCCGATGCCTCCTCGTCCAGGCCTGAGCAAGAGCCGTTGAGGAAGCCATCGTCCTTGGGTGTAGCCACAGCAGGTGGTGTGGTCTGGAGTGCTGGGGCCCCTGGTTTGGCATGGCCAGGCAGCTGGGGGTGACCGTTGGTGGTGGTGGCAGGCAGCAGGCGGGGGCTGAGGGGCAGGCCAAGTCCTGTTCGGGGCCCTACGTTGGTCACACTCGTGTGGGACACCATTGGGCCATAGCTGTAGCTGCTGCTCCCGCTGCGTGCCTTGCGCTTGAAGTCCAGTGCCAGAGTCCAGCGGCTCCAGGATTTCTTGATCTCTGCCTGTACCTGGGGTGGCAGTAGGAAGTCAGGTGTGCCCCAACCCTTTTGCCAGGTGTCCTTCCCCCTCCCCCACCCTAAGCATGACCTACATCCTTGTCCTTGAAACATTCAGCACTGAATGGAAAATGAGGCATGAGGGTATTGCTAGAAGATTCCAAGACCAAGTAAAACTGCATTGCTATCAGAACATGGCGCCTCTAGACAGAATCACAAGGCTCAAATGGCCCTAAGATGGCTGAGTTCTTCAATCTGGGTTATTGAGAATTCAACGATGGGGCTGGCAAGACACTTGGCTATGCCACAGATTGAAGAATCTACAAATTCTAGCATGTCTAGAGCCTGAACCATATGGAAAGTTCTTTTGCCTTCAGAATGTCTGCAGAGAGTTTCTTGAGGAATGAAGAACCAGGCAGAGGAATGCAGAGACAGGGCGTGGGGAAGCCCCTGGCGCTTCTGTATCCTACCTGCTCTGCCCTAACACTCCCACCTCCTTACCTCACCATTGCAGAAGCAGTATATGATGGCGACAAAAAATCCCTGCGGAGAGACGCACAGCATCAGGGCCCAGACGCTGACAAGGGCGGGGCCGCGTCCCCTCGTCTCATCCACCCTCCCCAGGCACGGCCAGGGCACGGCCAGGGCACGCACCTGGAAGGAGTTGAAGAGCATCTCGTAGTGCATCTGGACTTGCCAGAGTGTCCCTGAGACCTCGGTGTACGGCGTGGCCATGAAGACGATGTAGTGGACGCCGAAGAGCGGCATGAGCACCAGCGTGGATTTGAGCAGCTTCCTGGACAGCAGGGCAGGCTGGTCAGGGCCGAGTGGGTCCCCCATCGACAGGCACTGTGCCACTCCCACCCTTCCAACCTCCTGCTCCAGAAGCCACTAGGGGACTTGAGGCTGGAGGACAGCGGAGCACAACCCGCTTCACTTTGGGACCCTGTCCTAGGAGACTGTTAACAGGGGCCCTTGGATCTGAGGTGCCCTGGAGTTGACAACAAACATTATAGTCACCCTGTTCCAGGGCCCTGTGCCCCTCCTGGTGCCTCTGCTGGCACCTACTCACTCCTCTAGGGCCCTAACCTTGTGACCCCAGAGCCCACTCCTCAGGTTCCAGCGCAGCTGCTGCCTTGTCCAGCTACCCACTGCCCACCTGTCCCTCGTGCTCCTTGCAAGCAGCTCTGAGAAATCTGGGTTTGTCCTTCCCTTGCACACTCCAGCTCACGGCTAGGCACCATATGGGCCAGGTTGGCTTTGGGGTGCTCCCAGGGCCTCCTACAGCTGGCGAGATCCCATGGCTGCTGAACAGGCTGAGCAGAGCAGCCAGGGGTCAAGAGCTGGTTTTATCCCCTGAGACAGGCTCACTCTTTCCTCTGTATGGTGATGGGCTGACGACCCCTGGCCTACTGAGGAGCTGGGGTGTGGCGGGTGTGGCTCACCGGTACTGCTGCCGGGTGTCACAGCGGCCAGCATTGGTCTCCCGCAGCTTGGTGGCGAGCACCCGGACGATGTTGATGAAGAGGATGAAGTTGAGCTGTGGAGTGAGGGGGGCTGCATCTCCAGGCTGCACCCCAGCTGGATGGGGGCAAGGACCCTGGGACCCACAGCCCTGCCCGGTCCTGCTCTGCCATTCATTGCCTCTCCAGACGGCTCCTCAGGCCCTGGGTTTCCCCATCTGAACAGGGTTGGGATCAGCTGGTTCTCTGTGGCTCCGAGCTGTGGCTCTGAGAGGTCAGCAGAGCCTATGGCCTACATGCACACCCAGCCCGTGGCCACCCCTGCTCACCACAATGGAGGCCAGGATGGGCACCTGGATAATCCACTTCTTGTTCCCGGAGCTCAAGTCCCAGCACCTGGGGGAGTTTGAGGCATGAGCCCCCATCCACTCCGGTCCCCCCCCCCCCCAGTGCCTGCCCACAAACTGGTCTGCTCCAACATGAGCTACTGGGGACACAGGGAGGTGGATCTGGCCTGCTCTGAGGTCACCCTTGCAGACCTCTTTTGTAGCAATCTGCTGTCACCCTGGGGAGATACCCAGCTTAACACTGGACTGAAAACTGAAGTGGAGCTCCCAAGAGCCAAGGTAGAGGAGGTTCCCCCCACCCCGTGCTTCATAGAAGAAGAGAGCCCCAGGGCTGTTTCTGGCCAGTAGCCAAACCTTCAACCCCCTTCTCCACCAGGACATACCCAGTATTGGCCAGGGTAGCTCTCACACTGACCCACACAGCCACGAAGATGGCAGGCAGACCTGTGGGCACAGGGGTGGACAGTGTTTGAGGGACTGCAAGAGTTGTCTGTGGTATCTCTTTCCTCAACCCACCTCACGGATCCATTTCCCTCATCCCCCACTTAACCCAGCCCTTGCCTCTGATCCCCCCACATCCTGGGCCCAGGGCCTGCTTGGTGACAGAACCACACTCTGACACGTGTTGCCAACAGCCTCCCCTCAGGTCCAGCCCTTAGGACTCAGATCAGCCCTCCCCCCCACCTTGGTTCTAATCTCTTACACACACACCCTTGAGGCACGGGGTGAAATAAGATATCACAAAACTACCCATGCCCACCCCAGTCCCCCTTGGGGTTCCCTCTGGAGGGAGCCTATTACTGGCGTTTTCTGTGCCAGCACACCACTGCCTCCACCCAGGTGGGAAGGCCCTAGCCCCATGAATGAGGCTGGATAAGGTGAAGTGAAGGTGTCCTTCCAGGCGGGTGAGGGACGACAGGGAGGCTCCATGCGCTCTGGCCCTAGTCAGTTCAGGTGGCCCATGCACCCTGAAGTGAGCGTTGCTGCTAAGAAGGGAGCCCCGGGTCTTACCCTCCAAGCCTCACACTTCATTCTAGGCCCAGTGAGCCTTGGGAGAAGCGGGCGCGACCTGGGTTTACATGAGAAGCAGCTGTGACATTCTTGTGCCACAAAGCTCCCTGCGCCGCATGTTTCCAGTCCACCCTGAGACCCTTTAGCCCCAAAGTCTGAACCAACTCCTGGGGCCAGGGCCAGGTCTCCCCAGGCTGGGACCTGTCAGGGGTGAGGTCAAGGTCACAGTGTGTGCCAAAGGGCAAGGAGCTGTGGCTGTGGAGCTGAGGGCCAGTGGGTGCCGAGCGCAGGGAGGGCTCCAGCCACCCAATCTAGCCCTGTGCAGCCTGGCTAGTTGCCCCGGAGTCCAGCCAGGCTCTGGAGCTGCCAACAATAATGGACAATTATCGGTAACTCAATCCCAGAGCCTGTGGGGGAGGAGTACAGGGCTCCAGCAACCCATTCTGCGGAGGGGATGCCGAAGACCAGATGGCGCTGAGGGCCTGGCCCTCGGGCCCTGCGGGCAAGGTGGCAGTGGTAGTCCCACGAAGAGAGGGAGTGGGGGGGTTGAGGTTCCAGTTCCAACTCCAGTCCCGGACTAACCACTGACCCAAGATCCCATTCTGATCCTGAGCTGAATTCTGGCCGGAGGGTCCCCCCTTCCTTCCTCTGAGCTGACCCTCAGCTCCAGGTGAATCTGTTTCCAGATGAGCCCCAGCCTTAGCCAATGCCAGGTGATCACCTGGCCAAGTCCTATTCCCTGACCCGGGGTCAGCGTCACCAAAGGGTGGGCAGGTCTGGAACAGGACATGCCGGGTGGGCACCTTGCCCTCTGGAGTGACCCTGCCACCCAAGCTCCCGCCTCGCTTGCACCATGCCTGCGTACCCCAGCCGAAGATCGTGAAGCCCCACAGGTACTTCTTCTCTGAGAAGAAGGCCATGAAGATGAGGCTGTGTAGGTACAGCCCCTCCACCAGAATCCAGTAGTAGTTGGTGGCCAGGAAGTAAAGGAAGAAGGTCACAGCCACCCGGCAGCCCGCCTAGGAGACCAGTCAGTATTAGGGGTTAGCAGAGGGCAGGGCAGGATTGGGGGTGGGTGGAGGGTGGGCACTGTTGAGGCAGGACAAGTGGCGCTAGTCAAGCCAGGGAGAAAGGGGGAGGCTCCCGTCAGGACGCCCGCCAAGGCTGAGGGGCATTGTCAGAGCCGGAGGACAAGTGAAGATGGGGGGGACCGGGGGTCCTGAGCTGAGACCTAAGAGTGGAAGGAAGTGGGGGCGGGGGCTGGAAGCAGGGCTGAGGGATGAAAGGGACACGGTGAGGTGAGGGTGGGCCACCTTAGGTGGTGGCAGCAGGAGGCTGGGAGGGTGCGGGCCAGGCTAAAGGTGCGGGGCACAGCAGTGTGGAGCTGCCCAGAGCCAGCGGTGCGAGGGGCCAGGCGCAGGAGGGGCACTCACGTAGCCGGCGGTGGCAGAGGGTGGCGGGGGCGCCTGGGCGATGGCCCGCAGCTCTTCCTCCGTGAGGCGCTCAGCCTCATCGAGCGTGGCTCCGGAGTAGAGCACCGCGTCCTTGACGAAGATGCTCACGGCCCGAAGCATGAAGGACAGGAACAGGTGCATGTGGATGTAGTTGCGCGTGCAGTGCAGCCGCCTGCGGGCGACGTCACCGTGGGTGGGGGAAGGGGAGGTGCCAAGGCGGCAAGAGCCAGCAGGGCACTCGGTGGGGGAGGGGGAGAGGAGGGCGGCGCCCCATCTCGGCCCACCCCAACCTCGGCCCACACCCCGCCCTGGCCTGCCCACCTGAAGTAGGCCAGGATGAGCACCGCCACGGTGAGGGAGGCCAGCGACACCGAGTAGCCCACGGTGTAGATCATGCCCAGGCGGTCAAACACCTCCTGCGAGGGGGGAGGCACGTCAGGGCCCTGGGGCATGGTGGGCATCAGGTGAGGGGCAGAGTCTGCGTTCAGGTTTCTGAAGCAGTCAGAGCTAGGTCGCTAGGTCGGGGTCACCAGCAGGGCAGTGTGGCCTTCTCAGGGCCAGGCTGGGGAGGAGAAAGGCTCGCACCCGTTCCCGAGTCTCATTGGTCAGGAACTTGACGCACTCGCTGTAGTTTGCCCATGTCCGGTTGTGCCCAGGCACCAGCTCCCAGCTGCCGTTGCGGTCACAGCGGCGGTAGGCATGGCCTGCAGGTTTAAGGGATGGTCAGACAACCAGAGAGGACTGGGGTCACTAAGGCACGGGCCCCGAGGGCGGCATCCCTGGGCCCCCCTTACCTTTGTGATTGAAGTCATAAATGTAGTCAGGACAGGGCACCGCCACCACCTCACCTGGCATCCCCAGTGGCCAGCACAGGATGTGGTCCCACTCAGGCAGGCAAGGGCGCCCTGCACCCACAGAGACAGACAAGCAAGGCGGGGGGCCCAGTCAAGTCCATAGTTAGGGGCCCAGAGGGGAGGAGAGACTATGGCTCTTGGCTCCCTCAGGGACTGTGGAACTGAGGCCCAGAACATTCTGCAGAAAATGGATTGAGCTCGTGCTCCCTGCTGTGCACTGTACCCACCCACCTTGACAGCATTCGCCAAGCCCCTGTATGCAGGTTCTGGCACTGGCTGTTTTTCAGATTGGCTGGTGGACAGAGGTGAGTGACTTGCTGAGGTGAGAAAGCCCCGGGACCCGGCCTCAAGTGCTCAGACCTCTTTTCTCTCTGCTCTGGCACCCACCTTGCAGGTGTCCCCAGAGAAAGGCACTTTCCCAGACTGACTCTCCAGCTGGGAATAGCTGCCAAAGTGAACCTAGTGCCAGGATCACAGCCTGGAGGCGGGTCTGGGGCCCAGCAAGCTGGGCTCCCACAGAGCCCCTGACCTCACGCACATGTCTGTTCTCACTGCACTTCAGTCTCTTCTCCAAGAACTGGGGATTGACTGGATCAGCCTGTGCCTCCAACATCACCAAGGCCTGCCTAAGCACCTGCTGTAAACTGCTACCGCTCTTGGGGACAGATATAATCCCCAGATATAAGGGCTAATTTTGAGATTCAAGGCAGGTGACACATCTCACTGAGAGTATCCCCAAGCAGAGATGCTAGGTGACCTTGGAGGGTCCTGGCCAGCCGCTGGCTCCTCCACATTCCACCATCCCCTTCCCCCACCCCCAGCCCTCTTCTTTCCCTTGCAGGGCTCCAACCACAGGACTCTCCAGCCACACTGGAAGGTTGCCTTGATGGCTGGAGCCGCCCCAGCTTGGTGAAAGGCTCTCTGTCCTGGGCACTATATTCCCAGCCCCGCCTGGCCAGGCCCACAATTCCCTCTGGTCCCTGGGGAGCCACAGGGTGACCACAGCCTCCCAGATGTGGCCCATCTGGAATCTGCTGCCCACCCAGCCGGTTCAAACTGGCCCTGTGGCTGCAGCCTGGGCTCTGTGTTTGTCTCTCCTTACCTCCCTGCGGGACAACAAAACCCCAAATTTCCCTTCTCATCTTCTCCCCACCTTGTCCCATCCTATCTGACCCCACGTCTCCCAGGCCATCTTCTGCTCTCTCCGTGGCCCACCTCAGCTGTGTCTCTGGCGCAGGGATACTGAGACACTGCTGACCGTATGTCCCAGGCCTCCCAGGGGGACCCTGGGACCCCCCTCTCCTTGACTGTCTAGATCTCTGTCTCGGCTCTCTCCCAGCCGCTGTGTCTGTCTCTCTCCATGCTCCTCTCTCTCTCCCTGCCTCTCTGTCATGTCCATGGAGAGACCAGGGCGTCCCCTGTCCACATCTCCATCCAGCTTGCCCGCTCTTCCTGTCTCCTCAGCTGGGTCTTCTCCCAGCTCCTCCCCTGCGTTCCTGTTCACAGGCGTGGAGGGGCATGAGCTCACAGGATGGGGATGGAGCAGAGAGGGTGGGCGGGCGCCAGCCTGTCTGGGACTCACGGAGGCATGGACGTACCTCTGTGCCTGCTGCCTGTGGGCACCTCCTCGTCCTCCTCAGACTCAGGGTAGACTTTCCCAGATGTCTTCTCTTTCCTGGGCTTCCCTGATGTGGATGCGGATGCCCATCCCTTGTCTGACTCCATTATGTCAGCTGGAGAAACGAGGGATGTGGCTGTCAGCCACACAGCAGCGAGACCAAGGGCACCCTTCTGCCTCAGGCTCCCTTTCACACAACGCAGGTTGTCCCCTGCCCTGCCGACCCCAGCTGTTTGGGAGGGTGGAGATGACAGGTGAGGAAGTGCTTTAGAACTGTAATGTGTTTGCCAAGAGGGCACGGAGACTGTCAGCAAGGGGTTCAAATAGCAGCAAACGCCAGGCACGTGTGGGATGGCCTAGAGGGTTGAGAGGTTATGCAGACGAGACAAGGCGGTATCTTCTGACTCAGGTGTCAGAGCCAAAGTCAGACAGGAGGCAAAAGCCCCACCAGGGGGCGCATGGCAAAAGTAGACAGCAGTGATGATGTCAAAGAGATGGTAACCAGGGCGAAGGAAGCCAGACCTGAGCGCAGCCAAGCATGTCGAGACGTGGCGTGGAAGGCAAGAGCAAGCGTGTGCAGCTGTCAGGGGTGGGCAAGCGAGTCTACCTGCCCTGTCTCCTGCCTTCAAGTATGCCAGTAAGGGGGTCACAGATTGCACAAGAACCCTGGAGACTCTCTATCCAAGATGGGACCTGGCCTATTTCTCTACTGAAGAGATGCCTGGGGTCTTTTCTTCTCCCTGAAATGTCTTCCTCATTATCTGACTTGCACCCTTTAAGCTGCAGCTCAAGCCAGGGCTCCCTGGCTCTCCTGTGTCAGGGATGTGGGCAACAATGGGATTGCGTGTAGACACCCTGGACTGGGATGGGACGGCCCATTTTCCTGCCTGCAACCCTCGGGCATCAGTTGGGTGAGGTCGCAGGATGGGTTGGAGCTGGAAGAGAGGGTCTCATCATGAAGAGAGATGGCCCTCCAGGCTTCCACAACCCTGCAGGGCTGGGTTCTGGGCCAGAGTAAGCCCCAGACGCGGGGGCAGGGCACAGGGAGCCACTACAGGAGGTAAGTAGGCAGAGTTGTGACTGTGTGACTGCATGGACCCTGTGAGTGTTGAGCATTGGCTGTACCCTGTGACTGTGAGCGTTGGGTGGACCCTGTGAGTTGGTGAGTTGGTGTGCTAAGAGCGGTGTGTCCATCAGCATCTTCCAGCCTCCCCGCTCAGCCCCCTGGAGTCTAACACCAGCTGAGGGGAGGCAGCTGCAATCGTAGGCCTGTCAGTCAGAGGCTGGACATCTTCCAGGTGCAAGGGCTAAAGCAGACTTCAGAGATCTGGGATGATACCGAGGCTGGCCCCTCTCTGCTTCCAGGAAATGGACTCAAGGAAAGCAGCTTGAGGTGGAGGCGGGAGCTGTGAGATCAGGTGAGCACCCTGACTAATCTCCTGACCTGGTTTGCCTCACCAAATCGAGACTTGTGGGTGATTCCAATTGTAGATGCCGTTAAACCACCCGACCCCCCAACCCTGGGAGGGGAGGCACGGCAGGGAGTCCGATTCTGCCAATTTTAATGCCACCTGGCCCACTCCACTTCTAGTCCTCACTTTGGGCTGGCCCCCCCTTTATATGGACCCTCTTTGCCTTCACCTAGTTCAGCACCCTGCCCCTTCCCGCTTCTGGCCTCCCCGCCACACCCTCCATATTTGGCCCCACCCACCGGCCCGGCCCCAACCTGGCCTCTGGAGGACTTCTTTGAGTCGCTTCTCGCATTGGGCCTGGGCTCGGTGCAGCAGGAAGATCTGCTCCTCTTTGGTCATGACATCATCTGCGTCCACCTATCAAGTCAAAGGTCAGACCGCAGGCAGGACTTCCTGGAGCTCCAGCAGGCCCCACAACCATTCTACCCCCCAGGATCTTTCCAAAATGTCTGACTCTAGAATGCAGGGATTCTGCCTTAGGCAGCACCCATGCAGAGGAGAAGCTGCACTCTGGGGGGTAGGACCTGCCCCACCTACCAGAAGGTAAAAAAGGGGAAGGCTGCTGTCACTACTGACAGCCAGGTGGTGACACCCAGGTGGCAGCCACTGTCCTGTCCTCCCCCAGAAAGGTGGGAAAGCCAGGACCTCACGGATCCTGGCTGTTTGCAGGGGACCTGGGTGGTGAGGGAAGGTGCGGATGGGGGAGAAACACCAGGCCTGGATTCCTCCAAGCCCTGGTGCCCCAGGCCCTTGGGAGTCATCAAGTCCCATTGGGCCCTCCCTAGTCCATGCCATGGTGGGCGCCTCCTGCTCTTGAAGTCTCCGGACAGTAAGGGCCCAGGACTGCTGGGGGAGGTCAGGGCTGGGTGGGGCCTCCCAGGCAAGCGTGGTGGGAGTCTCCCATGTCCCACTCCTTATCTGGAAGTGCTGTCCATCCGAGCTGCCCCTGTGCTCTGAGGATGCCTCAGGTCTTGCTCCTCCTATTCCCTTAGCTGGAACTTTCTTCCTTTTCTCCTTTCCAATCTGCCAAGGCACTGGCGGCCACCTACTGGGGTTCACTAGCCTCATCTTAAGGAAGGGGACAACAGCATTCTGTGGCTGGGGGTGTGTTCTCACCCTATGCAGGTGGCTACAGGAGGGAGTCTGAGCCCCCAGCCGTCTTAGGGTTAGAGGGGGTTCAGAGGATGAAGGCAGCATCCTGCACCGGGCACAGCTGAGTGGCCAAGCCCAGCCACTTCCACAAGTGGTCAATGCACCACCTCCGAATCCCAGAACAGGGCACGTCCCCTGGGGTCCCTCAGCCCTAGAGCAGGGCTCTGTCTCCTCAAGCTCCACGTAGCAGAGCTGCAGAGCTGCAGAGCCGCAGAGCCGGGCTTCTTAGACTCTCAACAGGCACAGCCGCATCTCCTCACACACCCTGGACAAAGCGTGTCCTGTCAGTCCTGTGGAGCTTCAGGCAGGGCAAAGCTTCAGGGAGAATCAGGAGGAGCAGGGAAGGGAGGAGGTTGGGGGTGGCGCTGCAGGGGGGCCGGGGGAGGGACAGGCACCAGCGGGTGGGGGCGGGCCAGCACTCAGGGAGTCTGGCTGCAGGGAGAAATTAATTGACCACATCTCTTGGTGGCAGGAGCTAGGGTGTCCAGGGCCAAGGAGTCTCCAGTTAGGCTGGACTTGAGTTCTGCTGGCTTCCCTTGGGGGAGGCGCGTGAGTCTCTGCGCCTGCGCCTCGGCGGTGGCACACCCTGCAGTGGCCGCACACGCGCTGTCCGGTCGGGGTGTGTGCTCGTGGCACTCGTGTCTCTGGGTCGTCCACACATGGGAACGGCAGCACATTTGGAGGTGCGCCTGAGATGCCTATGAACACGCCTGTACCCATGCACGTCCACGGGTGCGAGAGTGCGCAGTGCCCCGTGCCTGTCTGTGGCGTCCGTACTTCTTAGCAGTCCAGATTGTCCCATGGGCCCCCCAGGAAGACTGGCTCAGATTCCCATGTGCTGGCTACTGGTTCCACAGCGCCTCTGTCCTCTCCAGGTGGGGCAGAGCAGGCTGGGGCACAAGTAGCCACAGGTGAGAGGGAGTGAGGAGGACAACTTGGATCTGCTCCAAGGCTAACCTGGAGCTGTGCCTCTCGCCTTGGGGACGTAGTCAGCTGAGCTGCCTTTCCTGCGACTAGTAACCACCACCGTCGCCACCCTGACCATCACCGCTGCTGTGGTCACCATCACCACAGTGTCAGACCACCAGCGCCGTTACCACCGGGCGCCCTGCTACCAGCACGATACCCACCGGCTCTGCTTTGCAACTGGTGGACCGTCCCACCACCACCACCAGGGCTATTTCCACCAGCGCCATCAGCACTATTATCCCGAAGGCGACACGAGAACATGGCTGCATCACCAATATTGCCACCTGTGGGCACTACTGGCACCACCTTTACCGTCTTCTTGTCCTTCCTCAATTCCCACTCTTCTGCCAACCTCCACCCCTCTCAGGACAGATGATGCAGTATGTTTTTCTCAGCTGGTGGAGCACACCTGAAAGGTTAACCAAAGCTTCACCACTGCAGTCCAGCCGACCTCCCCATAGACACACGTGCCCACGGATGTGCCTGACAGTCACAGCTGATGCCTTTGACTGGAGAACAGCAGTTTAGGGTTGAAAATGGCCTATTTATCAGCCTGGCAGACGGGCAGAGGAGCTAGCATGGTGATGCCCGGAAGGACAATCTCACAGGCCCAAGGGGCCAGTCCAATCTGCTGTTGGCTTCACCCTCTCCATGGCCAAGAAGAGGCATACCCTCTTTTCTGGGGTCTCATTACCATAGTGGGTCTGGGAATGCCCAGGAGAGTGAAAATAGATGTGTTCAGGACCCCAAATTCTTTCATTCATCCACAGGAATGGGGGTCCCACCCCTGGCCTCCCATTTCTCTGTTACTGCATCACAGAAAAACAGCTTTGCAACAAGAGGCGTCCACGCCAGGGTGAGAGGGACCAGGGAGGACAGGCGACTCCAGTAAGCGCTCCCCTGCCTGACAGGCCCACCTGCCCTCTCCTGTCTCTGCCACCAATTTGGGAGTTTGGATTCCACCTTCACCACTGACTGGCTTTATTGTCTTTGGGTAAGTTGTTTAATCCTTATGCTTCAGTTTCCCCCTATAAAAACAGGATAAAATGGGGCTGTTGTAAGGATGAAATAAAGTCCTGCATGAAAAGCCTGGGCAGGGGTGAGACCCAGGGAAAGCCGTTTGCTATTGTTGTTCCTGTTATTAGCACCAAATCATGGCTCCTCCCTCGGGTTGTGCCCCACCCCCATTCTGCTGCTGGGGAACATGGGTGATCCCATCCTGGTGGCAGGAGAGATTATCTGCGTAGGTGACTGAACCCAGGGCGCCATAGTGAGGGGCCGGTGGGAGGCAGCGCCGAGGGACTACTGGGAGCAGGGAATCCAGGCATGCCAGCTGGGTGAGGTGCGTCTGGCACCTAGGGGTGGGAGGCGAGCTCAGTGACTCCTGTTTTTTGCCCACCTTCCTCACACTATTATTGAGGTCGCAGCAAGCCCCCAAGCCTAGGTGTGGAGGTGGCAAAGGGCCTCTCCTCCGCCCTGACAGGGGCCTTATCTCCTGGGAGCGAATGGGACCCGAAGACGGCGCTGCTTCTCCTCCAGGCCCGGGGCTCTGTGCGGTCTCTCCCTTTCTGCCCCATCAGCCCCTCTCCCGCTGCAGTTTGAGTCTTGGCCCAGCTACTGGTATGCGGGACTCAGATCTGTATTATTTTAGATCCAGAGTCTGATGGTCTTGGATCTCAGGGGTGAGGCTGAGGCACACTGGGCTGGGCCTTGGCCAGGGGTCAGTGGTCTAAATACACCCCTGGTGGGGCCACCCAGCCTTGTGCCAGGCGTCCTGTAACCCCCAAGACCCTACTCCCTCCGTGGTTTGGGGTTAGGTCGGCATGCCTTCCTTTTAACCACCTCTAATGTCATGGGTAGCCATGTGAGTATGGGGGTGCAATCAGAGGTAAGAACACTTCCAAAGCTTATCCCCTGGGAAACCTTCACCATGTGACCCCCACACCAGGACAAATGGCACTGCCCTTCCTCCGATGTGGGACTTTCAGAGGGTGGATGTGCAGTATGCAGGAGAGAGGTCTGGTCAGGAAGACGGGACACAGGTCTGGGCAAAGGTGGGGGGTCATTTCATTTCACCTTTCGGGGGCTGACCATACTTATCTGAAAGCTCTGCCTCATGTCATGACACCCGTCCCGCTTTTCCCTGGCTACTGCACGGGCCCTCAGACTCAGAACCCCCCGTCTCCCCACCCGCTCAATTCTTCTACCCTCCCCATTTCCAGAATTTCACACACTCTTCGCCTGCTTTCCTCTCCCTCCACTCCATAACCACGGAGCCCACAGGTCTGCTTTGCCCCAACCCCTGTTCTCGCTGTTGCTACCCCAGTTCACCCCTCACCTGCCTCCTGAAATTGGGTCCTCCTGCAGTGTCTCTGCTCCCGGAGAGCCAGCCTTTCTGTGCCACAGGTCGGGCTTCTGAATGTGAAGCTTGTGCTCCATCACAGCATGCTGACCCACACCCAAGCCCCAACCCATCCAACCCCCCATGTGTGCACACGTGCGTATGGTGTCCAGTGTGAACACGCAGGGGAGGAGGAGGGGGCCTCCTGAGCTGGGGAAAGGGGGTTTGTGGGCTAAGGTGAGGTGCAGGTGGGGGCTGGAAGCTAGCATATCATTTACAAACATAGAAGCTGCTATCCCAGGGACAGTAGTGTGTGGTCAAGAGGCCCGGATGTGTTTCTCATTTCCTGAGTTCAGAAACCGGAGGAAGAGAAAAGCCATCTGCAGCTGCTCCTCCCCCCGACGGGGGCAAGCAGCTTCTTCTAATCAGCTCCTAGGGAGACTGGAGTGAGATTGGCATTGGAGCTGGAGAGGGCAGCGGAGGTCCCGGTGGGGGTGGGGGTGAGGACCGCAAGGTGGCTGTGCTAAGACTGGTGACGGTGATGGAGATGCAGGCACGCAGGTAGGATGGTCACAGTGGTGTGGCGGAGAAAGCTCGTTCTGGCCAGCGAGGGCCACTCCTCTCAATTCCCCTCCTAATTGCCAAATTCCACACATTTGCTGTCTGTGATTCCAGACAGCCCTAATTCTCCCCCAGGCAAAACTAAGGAGGACGCACAAGGGACCCTTTTCAGCTGCTGACACCTCTCCCTCTGCAAAGGGGCTTCTCCCACTGCATGGGTCGCCCCGGGGTATCTTTTTGGGGCATCTCCTCTATCCCTGGCTGAATCCAGCCTGGCGGTCGTGGGGGAAGCTCCTTGCTCACCTCAAGAGAAGGCAGATGCGCCTGGACAAGG